TGTGTGTGCGTGCGGTGGGGGGTGGGGGGTGTGTGTTAAAATGCTAGTAAAATGAACCCTGGTTCTTGGTGAGCTGCGGTTTTCTCTGGAGTTGCTGTCATTGCTGCAATTCTTCCATTCATCCTACTGGCAAATTCGTTTCTTCATTTTTCCTTCATCACATGTTCTCAACTGGATTCATCGAAAACCATAGAACACTGTCCCTGGAAAATCACAGAACACTGACAGCCTTTCTTCCTCCCCACCCCCCACCCCCCGCCCTAGATTTTTCTGATTTAATTAATGTAATAAGCTTCAGCAGAGAATTATTGATCTGACTAACTTTTTCCTTTCAGTTCTTTAATACAAGCATTTGAAGAGTAATGAATGCCTGATATAAGTCCAAGTAGGTAACACCTCATACAAAGTAGAAGCCAAGAGTCTAGAGTCGGAAGTTCCAGATCAACCATATCTGTCTTACTTTAGGAACAGAAAGAAGAGTAAGAAGAAGGTGGAGGAGGAAGAAGGAAGGAAGGAAGGAAGGAAGGAAGGAAGGAAGGAAGGAAGGAAGGAAGGAAGGAAGGGAAAAAGCCAAGTCTGTTACTGTCAAGTCAATTTTAACTCAGGATGACCTCTTATGTTACAAAGTAGAAGTGATGCATCAAGGTGGTTTGAAGGATGTACTCATTAAGGGAGCAGATCTCTAAGCCTTTCTTCCATATTATCTTCGGGTGGGTTTGAACCGCTAACGTATCAGCCGTCAAGATCAAACCTTTTGTGTCATCTAGGGGCTGCGTGGGAACAGCGAAGCTGGTTGATGTGGCAGACTGCAGTTGTACCTACACTAAAGGGAAGAGAAATTCTCTTTCTCTCCTGAAGAGGATTTCCTTCCACTACGTTTAACAGGCAGACACACTATGTTCTGCAATATTTTCTTTTAAAGTGTGTGGACTTTTCCAGTCCCTGTTTTCCTTTCCATGCGATTTGGGCTGGGTTGTCTCCATGTTGCCAATGCATGTGACTAGACTTCTTCTTTACCATGTCCGCTCAGCTGGCTCCCATTGAGAACTTGGTAAGAAACATCCCCTGCGCCGTGACGAAGCGAAACCACCTCAGGAAGGCCTTTCGAGAATATGCAGCCAAATTCGATCCTTGCAAGTGCGCTCCATGTCCTAATAATGGCCGGCCCACCCTCTCAGGGACCGAGTGTCTGTGTGTGTGCCAGAGCGGCACCTATGGTGATAACTGTGAAAGGCGGGCTCCGGATTTCCAATCTAGTAAGTACTGGTACTCAAGAGTGAGTGACATGAGTCAAAGGTGATGTGACGACGAGTTGGAGTGTGTTGTTTTGCTTTATTTAGTTTTGTTTTGAAGTGCCAAGTACTTCGACCCTGAAGCACTCCTTTTCATGACAAAAAGTATTCTATGTTCATAAATTAAACAAGAAAACCCTTCTGTTAGCAATCTCCACTGTTGGCCAACAGGAAAGCCAGTGTGTGAAAAGTAGACTCTCTAAAATCAAACCGACTTGGTGGAAGTCTCAGTTGTGATCAACCAGCTATGTGGACTTGGAAAGTTTGCCTCATCTTTCTATACCTCACTGTGTTGATCTATAAAATGGGAATAACTACATCTACCTGAGAATTAAAAACAAATCTCGGTTATTAGTGTTAATACTAGAAATTATTTTTCAAATAAGTCTTACACCTTGTATGTATTGGGATGTAGAATGAGGATGGCTTGGTATAAGGGATAAATTAGGTCAAAACCAAAGATTTCATACAGGATGAATGTGTAGCTCTGTGCATTAGGCATTGGGCTGCGAACCACAAAGTTGATGGTTCAAACCCACCGATCACTCTTCAGGAGGAAAATAGGGCTACCTGCCACCTAGATATTTTACAGTCTTGAAAACCTTATAGAGACTTGCTCTAAGTCAGAATCAATTCTGCTGGCTGTGGGTTTGGTTATAAGGAGGCTTGGCAGCATTGGTTAATCACTGGTTTGCAAACCATAAAACCAGCAGTTCAAACTCAGCCTCTCCTTGGGAAAAAAAAGTGAGCTTGTCTAGTCCCATAAAGATTCTGAAGCCTTGAAAGCCCTATATAGAGCCTTTATGACTTAAAACTGACTCAATGACAGTGGCCTTGGGTTGAAACAAGTGTCTCAAATCCTCTTTAGAAGGCAGATGAGAAGTAGGAATATATCCTACTGTCCTTGAAAATGTAACTTGATATTCTATTGAAGATACTTATATATATGCAACTATGTGCGGATACTCACACACACAAGGTAAGTCCAAACGAGATTACTACTAAGGTTCCAGTTCATGCCTTTATGTTTTTCCAAGCTAAACATATTTAAACATGTCTCTGTGGGCAATGGATAACTGCAGACATGTCCTCTCAGTAATATAGTTGTGTTAGTCTCATCAGGTGCCTTTAAATAAAAGAAGAGGTTCAATCGGAACAGTGGCTTGGGGAGCTGCTGGACCACTTCAATTCAAGGGGCAGAGTAGTCAGCTCAGAACACTATGGCAGCTCTTTTGTAGAATTCCCAAAGGATAATCTTGATTGGTTTTTCTCAAAGGACACAAGAAGTTTTTTAAAAGCTGGAAAATCCCATAAAGGTGAAAAAAGCCAAGAGAATTTCTCCAAGGTTTTTGTTGTTTTTTTTTCATTATAACAATGCACCTGCTCTTCATTTGAGCTTGGCACGGGCTGTCCTCTCAGGATTTAATCGGGAAGCCTGTCTCCATTCACCCTTCAATCCTGGCTTTGCCCCTGTAGACTATTTTTCTAATCCCCAAATGCAAAGAACACGTAAAGGGGGAACACAATTCGAGCACACTCAGGTTGCCTACACTACCCTTGGATGTGATGTAACTGGAGGAGCCCAAGCTTATTTGGGGAAGGTCAGAGAGATGCAAAAACTGCCTTCAGACATGTATAGACCCACGTAGAGGGTATGTCAAGAAAAAAATACCTCAACATTTTGTTATTTTTGTTTATTGAAGGTCTCTAGGACTTTGTAGCAACATATTTCACTGACCCTCAAGTATATGTGTTCACAAATAGTTGAAAATTATTCATGATGGTTTTCATTCTGTTCAGGCTTGTCCAAACAGGACCCAGAAAACAGTCAATTTATTAGAAATTTTTCAAGATCATTTCTGATATTCTAGCAAGGGTCTCACAGAAGTAAAAAGCGAAGAAACCAGTTTGGTCCAGAACTAAAGCCCCAAATTCTCTCAGATGCACCATGCTCCGTGGGCCAATCTTCCTCTGTTCCAGATTCCGTAAATGGGAATTGGGGCTGCTGGTCTTCCTGGAGTACTTGTGATGCTACTTATCAGAGATCGAGAACCCGAGAATGCAATAACCCCACACCCCAACAAGGAGGGAAGCCATGCGAGGGGGAGCAGCAGCAAGAGGAGGCCTGCACGTTCTCAATCATGGAAAACAAGTGAGGATGGGAAATGGAAATGATGGGTCCTTCTTCCCCACTGACAAAGACAGCCAAGATATTCATTACACTACTGCTAGTACAGATTATTTACACACATATATTGGCTAAGAAGTACAGTCAGAGTGCTTGTAGAGGCAAAGATGGCAAAACATCATGTTATATACTTTGGGCATGTTGCCAGGAGAGACCAGTCCCTGTAGAAGGACATCATGCTTGGTAAAGTGGAGGGCAGCGAATAGGAGGAAGGCCCTTGATGAGCGGGAGGGACATGTGTTCTCCAGCATGAGAACAATTAGGCGCAGGACAGGGTAGTGTTTCATTGTGTTGTGTATGGAGTCTCTGGGAGTCAAAACTGACTCGATGGCACCAAATAACAACTGCTGGGGGAAAAAAAAGGAATGATTACAATTTTACCTATTCTCACAAAACCTTGGCTCTGCTGCTATTTCTTTCTCAGTGTGCAATGTTTTCTCTCTATGGGTTCCGCATTGGGCTGCTAATCTCGAGGTTAGCAGTTACAAACCACGGCTGATCTGTGGAAGAAAGATAAGTCTTCTACTCCGATAAACAGTTACAGTTTCAGGAACTGTGGGGGGAGGTCACAGGCATCCTCCCTAAGGGTGAGCAGTTGCCAGACTGCAGGGGCTCCCCCGCTCCCTGCTGTTCAAGAACAATGGACAGGCCCACAGTCATTGATTTGGAAGAGGTCCAACCGGCTTTGTGACATCCAAAGTTGGGCTGCCATCCTATATCTAGGATCCACCCATCTTGCCACATGTATACCCCCAATGCCTCCTCTTCCTATTGCATGGATACCCCTAGATCACCCATTACTGTATTACCTATAGCACAGCCCCTTCCTGTGATGTATGTGTTCACCTGTAATTAGGGGACTTGCATGTCCCCAGAGAATATAAAAGCCTTGGTTAGCATTAAATATCTCTCTCGCCAAGTGGACCAACAAGCAGGACTGAGGCGAGCATGCTACCATGAAATGTGTCTGACTCTATTATTTCAATCTCTCTCTCTTATCTCTCATGCTTTCTATGACTTTACTATAATCTTTACTTATTATCGCTGTTCAATTGCGCCTACCGGACCCATGATAATGTGCTAGGGCTGGCTTCCCCTTGCAAGGAACCAATAGGGGCAGCTCTTCCCTGTCCTATAGGATCCCTAGGAGTCAGAATTGACTGGATGGTTGTGAGTCTGAGAAACACATGTCAAAAGATGTATATATGTTTATCTGTATATATACATCTCTACATGTATATTTCTACTTACATATATGTATATGGGTACATAATTATGTCTCTATATAAACATGCATTCATTATTTCCTTTTAGTGGACAACCATGTATTAGTGATGATGAAGAAATGAAAGAGATAGATCTTCCTGAGATAGAATCAGATTCAGGGTGTTCTCAGCCTCTTCCTCCAGAAAATGGATTTATCCGGGTAAGTGTCCTACCTCTGCTTTAGGTTTTGCTGTTGGTAGGTGCCATGAAGTTGATTTTGATTTACGGAGACCCGTGTGACAGAATAAAACTGTCCTCTCGGGTTGTGCTTCTGGGAGCAGATCACTAGATATTTAACCACTGGGACTTGGAATGGGTTCAAATTTTAGCAGCTAAGCTTTTAACTGCTGTGTCATCTGGGTCTCTGTTAGGGTCAGAGTTCCAAAACTATAGTTTAAGAAGTAAGATTTTTCTTTGAATGAGGCTTACTGTTTTCACATACAGTTATCTATTAATCAATGTGCAAAATAGTAATAATAGTTAGAAAAGCATTACCACTCTTCCATCTTGAATTTCCTAGAGCTTTCTTCAAACATGGTTGTTAAACCAAAGAATAGCAGGTCCCTGAACATGACTAAGTTCATAGGATAATGGCATATTTACAGGAATGGAGAATGGAACTTGAACACAATATAGCTTTGGATGATGTAAAACCCTGCCAAGTAGCCCCTATAAAGGCATGTTGTGAAAGAGAAAAGTATCCCCTGCTGCAGTCAAAGGAGGTACTGCATCTGTGATGCCTTACTGAACCTGAAAAAAGCAGAGCCTTAAGTCATCCAAACAATCTTAACACACCTCTAAAATTCACTCTGTCTCTTTCCATTAAGCCACAATATGTTTCTATTAGGGAAAAAGGACAAAAAACTGGATAGCAAGAATTATCAGACAGATGTTAAATATACGAATACATGTTCCATATGATATATTTTAAATTGATCACAGAAGGCATACTCTTTGATTAATTTTACCTTTCTTAACTTCAATGAAGCCTTTAAATTAATATTTTCACTTCGGCTGTATTATGTCCATGATCAAAAAGCAATAATCCTTGGTTCTCTAAAGTCAGCAAATAAATATCCATAGAGCAAAGTCTGCTAATGTGTGGCCCACTGTCATTAATCTTCTGCCCTTTTTTGAAAGCTATCATGCCTAAAGGTTTACATGTAGGTAAAGCATTTTAGAAGGAGAAAATTTCAATTAGTCTCTAGAGCAGAAGTCCAATCAAGCTATGACCTGCTCAAACTCCACTCCTGTGTTCCTATTGGCCTAGTTGGCACAATAAACCTAACTATCACAGGTGCTAAATTCTAGAATGTAGCAAAATCAATAGCAGGATTTATTAAGGCACAGATTACTGGTTAAAGTTTCTCAGACTTCTTATTCCATTAGTCTTTGGTGAGACCACAGATAAAACTACACCTAATAAGTTTTCAGGTGATGCAGATACTGCTGGCTCAAGACACACACAGTTGAGGAATTAATATAATCAAGAACAAGAAAATATAACTATTGCCCATACACAAAATCTAATCCATCACCTGTTTTTTTATTTTTAAATAAAAATTTATTGGAACATAACCAATGCTCATAATGATTAGTTACCGAAACCATACATTGCAAAGCCTAATGCAGTCCCTAAGTGGCCCATTGTATAAAAAGTTTACTGATTCCTTACTTGCCTAGAGTATTACACTCATAAATAAGTTGTTTATTGTGGGATTCAGATATAAAAATAACTTTTCATCTATTTGCACCAGCTATTTGCAAAAATTGTTAAAATTGCAGAGATTCTAATTTTAAAAACACAGGAAAGGTTGAAATAGTGATTCATTATTCTTGTGACTTATTTTGTAAAATTAGATTATGTTTCAATTTCATGAACAAATTCATTCCTTTTTTTATTTTTTCTCCTTATTAAATATCTAATCTTTATTTGACAATAACTTTTACTCAAAAATAATAGAATTTTAAATATATATAATATGAACTTCCAAGTGATTGATTAATATAAGTAAAGCTAATGGCACAAATGATTAAGTAAAAGAACCTAACAAGTTTTCAAAGAGTGGCTGGAGAAAGACAAAGTAAACAATGATAATGAAATGTGCAAAGACCTGGAGATAGAAACTCAAAGGAAAGCATGGTAGGCATTTCTACAGCCAAAAGAACAAATGAAAAATGCCAATCCTCAAGTTTCAATATTGAAGAATTTTATGGCCAAATATTCAATGATGAAGGAAGCATTTAAAGAACATGTAAGGAATACACTGTCCCCAAAATAAGTGGTCTTCATTGAACCATTTCCAGATGGTAGCACGTAATCAAAAACCACGAATAGTAAAGGAAGAAGTCCAAGCTGCAATGAACTCATTAAAAAGACAAGCAAACTCACTGCCCTTGAGTCAATGCCTACTCATAGTGACCCTTTAGTACGGAGTAGACATGCTCCTGTGAGTTTTCTAGACTGTAACTCTTTATGGGATTATATAGTCCTCTCTTTCTCCCTCAGAGCAGTTAGTGGTATCGAACTGCTGACCTCATGGCTCCCAGCCCAATGTGTAACCACAACAACTCTCTGAGTCAATTCTATTTTGTCTTCCTATAAATCTTTGAGGGAGCCAAACAATTCACAGTCCTTCCAAATAGCAGTTGGTGTGTTTGAACTGCTGCACTTTGGGTTAGAACTCCAACCCTAATCCTCTACACCACCTGACTCCTAGTGCAAACTAAGACTCCTGGGATTGACAGAACACCAACTGAAATGTTTCAACAAATGGATGCCATATCAGAAGCAAGAAATTTGGAAGTCTGCTACATGGCGAGCTGACTGGAAGAAATCCATACTTGTGCCCATTTCATGAAAGGTGATACAACAGAATATTCAACTTAGTAAATATTAATATTATACTCAAGCTAAAATTTTGTGAAGATAATTAAAGAACAGTAGACATGTCCATCAACATGTCCTCTGAGAAATTCAAAATGGATTCAAAAGAGGACATGGAATAAAATATATCATTGCTAATATCAGCTGGATCTTGGCTAAAAGCAGAAAATGCCACAAAGAGATTTACCTGTATTTTATTGGTTATGCCCTGATAGTGTACGGAGTTATTCATTGGGCTTCTAATCTTAAGGTCAGTAGTTCATGTCCACCAGCTGGTCCAAGGGAGAAAGATGAGGCTTTCTGCTCCCATAAAGCTTTACAGCCTAAGACATCCAAAGGAGCAGTTCTCTGTTTTACAGTAGCACTAAGAGTCAACATGACGGCAGTGAGTTGGGTTTGGGTGTTATTTAGTTGTTCTTTTAGTTAGTAAATTAGTGAGTTAGTTAGTTTATTGGTATTCAAAGGCATGCCACTGTGTTGGCCAGAACAAACTATGTCTAACTTTTCAAAGAATAGAACGTCCGGACACTTCATTGTGCTCATGTGGAAAGTGTACACAGACTAACCAAAAGGAAACAACGGGGTACTGTGTGGCTGAAAAGCAAGGCAGGTGTGCATGCAGTTCTTGTACCACACGTTTTCCCAGCTGCACGCTGAGCAGATTGTCCAACAAACTGGAGTATAGGAAGAACAGAGCATCAGGATTGGAGGAAGACTTTAATCACAATCTGCAGTATGCAAATGACATAATGCAAAGGCGGAAGTGAGGAGAACTTGAAGCACACTTGCTAAAAATCAGTGATTCCCAAGTTCAGTATGGATTACACCTCAAGGTAAAGAAAGCAAAGATGCTCACAACTGACCCGAAAAGCCGCACGATGAATGAATGATAAATGGAAAAGAGATTGGCCTGGTGAGGAATTCCTCTGGACTTGGAATCACGGTCGGCACCCACGGAAGCAGCAGTCAAGAAGTTCAACAGCATTTTATGTGGGGCATATCTTGCAAAATACCCCTTTGAAAGGATTAAAAAGCAGAGTGTCACTCTGAAGACGGAAGGATGCCTCATTCAAGACATTATATTTTCAAACTCCACATAAATGTTTGAAAGCTGGGCAATCAAAGGAAGATCAAAGAAGTGATGCCTTTGAATGATGGTGTACAGGAAGAACCTTGACTACGCCGTGGATTGCCAGAAGAATGAACGCAATCTGTGCTGAATGAAGTCGGACCAGAGTTCTCTTCTTAGAAGCAGGGTAATAAGACTTTGTCTCCTTTACGTTAGACATGTTCATAGTAGGAACCTTTCCCTTTAGCACAGTGGTTCTCAACCTGTGAGTCGCGACCCCTTTGGGGGTCGAAGGACCTATTCACAGGGGTTGCCTGATTCATAACAGTAGCAAATCTACAGTTCTGAAGTAGCAACAAAACTCATTTTATGGTTGGGGGTCACCACAACATGAGGAACTGTATGGAAGGGTGGCGGCATGAGGAAGGTGGAGAACCACTGTTTTAGCAGGATAAAACACGGCATCAACTAAAAAAAGAGGAAGCTTTTCTATCTCTCCACCAGATAGATGGCTTTATTTCCACGTGAAAGCTGGACATGGACTACGGAAGGTCATAAAAGAAGGGTAGTGTTTGAATTACGGTTTTGCCAATCTACCGGAGCTTGTGGGGACCCACAGGACAGAGAGCATGTCCTTCTGTTGTCTAGAGGGGCTTTGTGAGTCATGACTGACTCGGCGGCGGCACCCGAACGAGAACCTTGTCAGACTGCTTGTAACACAATGCCCCTGTCTGGAATCAGAGGGAGGGATGCCTCTTTCCAGAGAAGGTGTTGAGGATAGTAGGAATGGCCAGGTAAGGACATACATGCGTAAAAGAGCATAATAAGCGTGGCAGGTGGGTTCATGATTTTTATTTTCTGCCAGGTTGTAGGTTTTATGGAGGAACATGGCAGCGGGTGAGGACAGTAAAACAAATTCAAGTTCAGTAAGATCCACTTTATCTTGAATTGTTTTGTGAATTCTCAAATGACGGCAGTTTTACTTGAATTATCTATTAATTGGAGAAATACCTAGGCTACTAGAAATTGAGCAACATTTTTTAATGATCTAGACTGGCATAGTCGTTGAGCGCTGGGCTGTGAGTTTGTCCGGATAGACTAGAGAAACAAATGCATTGACACTTATATATGCGCAAGAGTAAAATTTATATCAAGAAGTAATTATACATCAATACAACACCCCAGCCCAATCCAGATCAAGCCCATATGTTCAAATTTAGCCCATATGTCCGATATTATCCCATGAATTCCTCTTGAGACTCATGCAGCACAATTAAATGTGCACCATGAAATGATGCCAGATGCAGGAAGACCACAGACCAGTGGTTGGAAAGTCCTGTGGATCCAAAGGCCATGGATGCATCTCCAGGGCTCTCGCTGCCATCAGCATGGCTCCATGTGGCTTGTCAACAGGAATGTGTAGCAGAGAGAGAGAGTGAGTCCCGCCTCCAGGGAGGAAGAGAGCAAGTCCAAGAAGACTCAAGTGAAGGCATCCTGCCCAGAAGGAGGGCTCACCAGGCTAGACTCCACCCTTTCATTGCTATTTATCAAGTTGACGTGAAATTGTGTAACTACCCCAGACTGTGATCTGCAAGGTCAGCAGTTCAAAACCATCATGTGTTCCTCAGGAGAAAGAGAGCACTTCTACTCCTGTAGAATGTTACAGTGTCAGAAACTCAGAGGGGAAGTACTACCCTATCCTCAAAGGTCAGTGTAAACCAGCACTGACTTAATGGCAGCATGTTTGCGTGAGTTTAATCAATTTGTCACAAAAGAATTATATCTTTTCTATACAAGCGGTACACATTATTTATATTCCAACTATACCCACCACTTACTGAGCATGTAGTTTCTCCGTTCTTGAAGTAGCAGGTTATAGACTGAGAAACACAGCAGACTGCAGTCCAATGTGTGACTACGGTGGCATCCTTTCTCTGGTGACATATTCATTTCCTTGGGTTACAGTCGCAAAATACCACAGACTAGGGAGACACAAAGGCCTTCGATGAGACAAATGAATACAGTGGTTTCAACGGTAGGCTCAAACATCAGAACGATGGTGAGGATGGCCCAGGACCAGGCAGTGTTTCCTTCTGCTACACACAGGGTCACCGTGAGATGGAACCAACTAGATAGCACCTGACAGCAAGGTAAGCACGAGTTAAGAACATAAAACTCCACACAACTGGATGAATAGAGAGCATCATGATCAATGAAGGCAAGAATAAAATTGTCAAGGATTTCCTTTCAGTTGGATCCACAAACAATGCAAACATCAAACCGCATACTGCATGAAGCAAATCTGCTGCACAAGCCCTCTCGAGAATGCTTAAGAGCAGAGATGTCGCTTTGAGGACTAAGATGTCTCTGACCCAAGACCATGGTAGCGTGTGAAAACCAGACAATGAATAAGTAATACCATAGAAAATCGATGCATTTGAATTATGGCCTTGGCAAGGAATCTTGAAAGAACCATGGACTCCCTGGGTGGCATAGTGGTTGCACGTTGGGTTGTGCTCAGCAAAGTCCACAAAACCACCCACCGCGCTGAGGGTGAAAGGCGGTCTTTCCACGGCCATGAAGAGACGCAGCCTCAGAAACTCACAGGGGCAGTCCTGCTCTGTCCTATAGGGTCGCTAGGAGGAAGTACACTATTGAGTCGATGGCAGTGAGTTTGATGGACTGCAAGAGAACAAACGAATCCGTCTCAGAAGAAGTACAGCCAAAACGTTCCTTAGAATCAAGTATGGAGAGACTTAATCTCACATACTGTGGACCGTTATCAAGACGGACCAGTCTCTAGAGAAGGATATTCTGTTTGGTAGAGTGTTAGTGAAAAAAGGAAGGCCTTCACTTGAAGGTAATCAAGCGGCCATCAAGCTCAGAAGCAACAAAGCCCACATGGAAGAAGCACACCAGCCTATGCAACCACGAGGTGTCGAAGG